GAGCACGGGCGGGTACGATCGGTATGCAAGGACTGCGGGGGCAGGAGCATATGCGAGCACGGGCGGGTACGATCGGTATGCAAGGGATGCGGGGGGGGGGGGGGGGGGGCGGGGGGGGGAGGGGGGGACTTGGTGGACGGGGGAGTGAGCTGGAGGGAGATGCTTGCTCTTGTCATAACAGAAGCCTGGGATGACTGATGTGCCGTCGATCGAGGCCGGGATGTCTGTCAGGGTGATGCGCACGGCCAGGGTGCTGTCCCACGTCGAGCGCTGCGTCCACTAGAGTGAGCTGACTTGAGAGCAGCTGGGGATACGGGCAGCTGAACTAGGTGGGCTCACGGGCCTGGGCTTGTTCACCGTCACTGAGATCACTGAGCTGACTCGGCCCGGCGGTCAGTAAGGGCCCTTAGGGCCGTTACGGCCTAGTAAGGCCGGCGGGAAACGGCCCTAAGGGCCCTAAGGCCTTTCCTTAGGGCCTTAGGGCCCTTAGGGCCCTTAGGGCTTATAGTTGAGTTCTCCAAAATATTTGGAGAAGAAAAAAAGAAATTGACTTATATTTGTACGAAACAATCACTACTCCTCGTACTGATTTTAACTTAACTTTGAGTAAAGGCTCACTCTTCACCTCGACAGTATCGTCAAAGTCTTACAAGGAGAGCTACACAAGTACAGAGAAACTCTCATCAAAATATCTAGATGGCCAAATGAGAGTCATCACAACTTCCCTGTAAACAAGTAGACTATTTTCTATCTCACTTGAAGCTAGATGTATCCGACAAATATCCAACACATCATCTTGACGATACCCAACACCTTGTTCGGTCCCCCTTTCGCTGCTGTTTCCCTCTCATTCAGGCTATGGGCCCGGTATGGCAGGTGGGCCGGTATGGCAGGTGGGCCAGGTGCCATACCCTCAGTCAGCTAGATCAGACTCTGAGACCTTCCAGAGATGTTGTTGCAGTTTCGGGTATATCTGCATAGAGTGCGGTACGCGCTTGAGGCATGCTGATAGAACTTGGTGAAGGGAAAATAGTCTTGGCTCCTGGATCAGAGAAGAGATTTGGATGTTTTGTTGAGAGCAACATGTAACGTCGAATTCTTTGCTTACTTTATACTCGACATCTTCATGTTTGATATTTTTCCAATGACGATCGGATTGCGGCTACCACATAGCCCGGCATCACGCGAAGCTACTGAGGACAGCATGACGCTCAGTAGACACTGAAGTTGAGCATTACGACAAAAGGTAGAAGGGGAGGGCTGTAGGCTCGGCGTTGCCTGGTAGTTCAAGTTGAATAACAGTAACTAACGCCGGGCCCGGGGCCTGATGCCGACCGGGCCCGGCCAGTCGGGCCGGGGCCTGCCCGGCGGTTGCACTACCGGTGACCATACCTCCACTACCGATGAACGATTCTTTCAACCGTTGTACTGTAGAGGGTACTGTTACCCCAATTCAGTGATTGGTCAAAACTCAGTGTATGAGGGCGATGAGCAGAAGAGCGGGAAAAGGCGGCATGGCTGACACAAGGCCGAGCAAGAGGAGGAGAGAGGAGGAGGAGACGGCAAGAGAAGAGGGAGGAAGAGGAAAGACAGGGGAGAGAGGGATACGAAGAAAGCTATGCGAGCACGGGCGGTCACGATCGTCATGCAAGGGATGCGGGGGCAGCGGCATATGCGAGCACGGGCGGCAGCGATCGGGATGCAAGGACTGCGGGGGCAGCAGCATATGCGAGCACGGGCGGCAGCGATCGGTATGCAAGGGATGCGGGGGCAGCAGCATATGCGAGCACGGGCGGGTCCGATCGCAATGCAAGGAGTGCGGGGGCAGCAGCATATGCGAGCACGGGCGGCGGCGATCGGTATGCAAGGAGTGCGGGGGCGGGAGCATATGCGAGCACGGGCGGGAGCGATCGGTATGCAAGGACTGCGGGGGCAGGAGCATATGCGAGCACGGGCGGCAGCGATCGAAATGCAAGGGATGCGGGGGAGGGAGCATATGCGAGCACGGGCGGGTACGATCGGTATGCAAGGACTGCGGGGGAGGGAGCATATGCGAGCACGGGCGGGTACGATCGGTATGCAAGGACTGCGGGGGCAGGAGCATATGCGAGCACGGGCGGCAGCGATCGGTATGCAAGGGCTGCGGGGGAGGGAGCAGGGGGCGCATGCGATGAAGACTAGGACTTGGTGGACTGCTTGCTCTTGTCATAACAGAAGCCTGGGATGACTGATGTGCCGTCGATCGAGGCCGGGATGTCTGTCAGGGTGATGCGCACGGCCAGGGTGCTGTCCCACGTCGAGTGCTGCGTCCACTAGAGTGAGCTGACTTGAGAGCAGCTGGGGATACGGGCAGCTGAACTAGGTGGGCTCACGGGCCTGGGCTTGTTCACCGTCACTGAGATCACTGAGCTGACTCGGCCCGGCGGTCAGTAAGGGCCCTTAGGGCCGTTACGGCCTAGTAAGGCCGGCGCGAAACGGCCCTAAGGGCCCTAAGGCCTTTCCTTAGGGCCTTAGGGCCCTTAGGGCCCTTAGGGCCTATAGTTGAGTTCTCCAAAATATTTGGAGAAGAAAAAAAGAAATTGACTTATATTTGTACGAAACAATCACTACTCCTCGTACTGATTTTAACTTAACTTTGAGTAAAGGCTCACTCTTCACCTCGATAGTATCGTCAAAGTCTTACAAGGAGAGCTACACAAGTACAGAGAAACTCTCATCAAAATATCTAGATGGCCAAATGAGAGTCATCACAACTTCCCTGTAAACAAGTAGACTATTTACTATCTCACTTGAAGCTAGATGTATCCGACAAATATCCAACACATCAATCTCCGTCCTGACAAACTCTATTACCGTAATGTTCTGCTGCTGTTTCCCTCTCATTCAGGCTATGGGCCCGGTATGGCAGGTGGGCCGGTATGGCAGGTGGGCCAGGTGCCATACCCACGTGCTGGGGAGGCAGCCGGGCCGGTATGGCAGGTGGGCCAGGTGCCATACCCTCAGTCAGCTAGATCAGACTCTGAGACCTTCCAGAGATGTTGTTGCAGTTTCGGGTATATCTGCATAGAGTGCGGTACGCGCTTGAGGCATGCTGATAGAACTTGGTGAAGGGAAAATAGTCTTGGCTCCTGGATCAGAGAAGAGATTTGGATGTTTTGTTGAGAGCAACATGTAACGTCGAATTCTTCCGATTTTTCCAATGACGACGATTGCAGCTACCACATAGCCCGGCATCACGCGAAGCTACTGAGGACAGCATGACGCTCAGTAGACACTGAAGTTGAGCATTACGACAAAAGGTAGAAGGGGAGGGCTGTAGGCTCGGCGTTGCCTGGGAGTTTGCATAACGCCAGGCCCGGGGCCTGATGCCGACCGGGCCCCGGTCCGGCCAGTCGGGCCGGGGCCTGCCCGGCGGTTGCACTACCGGTGACCATACCTCCACTACCCACCCCACCCCCTATCCCGATGAACGATTCTTTCAACCGTTGTACTGTAGAGGGTACTGTTACCCCAATTCAGTGATTGGTCAAAACTTGGCAAGGGGGTGATATTGAGTACAGGGGGTCATCACCCCCACCTCCCCACCTCCCCACCACCCCACCCCACCCCGTGTTATCCGTGTAGGCCCTTCCATCTTCCATTTCAAAACTTGGTATCCTACCCAGGTGTACGCAGAAGAATGCTGCTACTGTCGCTGCTCTATCGTTGTACTTGAAGCCCGCTCCTCCTCCTCCTCCTCCTCCTCCTCCTCACTGTCAGAAGTCCTCCTGCTCCTCCTCAGAAGTCCTCCCTTCCCCTTCCTCCTCGTCCTCGTCCTCCTCCTGCTCTTGCTCTTGCTCTTGCTCCTGCTTTCCCTTCCTTCTTCTCCTCGTCCCTCTTCAGTATTGTTCTCTGCAAGGATTCACATACGAGGTCTGCAACATGCAGCAATGATAGAGTGCAGTTTACCTTTCTCTTGTTGTGAATTCAAATACATTATCTGGTAGCGCAGGATCATAGAGATCATGGCTACTGCCTTGCGCGAAACCTTCGAGAATGGAAACTCTGTAGGTGAATACGCAGCAATGTCAACGGGCTGAGAAGAAATGTTAGATTCAGCACGGCGCGGAAACCAATTCAGAGAAGACGTCGGTTGGGATTCAATTCATAACTTCTCATCAAGTACCTGAAAATTGCTGTGATCGTTTCGAACAAGTGACATTATAGATAAAGTGTGCAGGTGGAGCAAATGACACCACACATGACTTGTACCTTGTTGGATCCTTGTTGCAGCTCACAACTTGGGGGACTGGATGCAAAATGGAGCACAGCAACGGAGTTTGGCAGGTGTATATCAATGATGCTAGGTGAAAGAAAGACATAACAGCATCCCTTTCAGTATTATCTTGTATTGGACGTAAACAGATCCTTTGTGGAAGATGTAGAGTTCTTCTACAAGTATGTGGCAAGGTGTCGCGGTACGCTAGACATCAAAAAAGAGACAATCTTGATTTGGTCTTTCTCTACATTCTCAGAGACTTCAGTTGTGGCTTGGGAGTCTCGAGTCTCCAGATGGTATGATCTCTGATCTTCATTTCTTCCTCCTGCTTGTAGAATCTGCGTGAAAACTTGTTGACCTGACGTCATTTGATCAACACAGCAGGCTTCAACTCGAAAAAGTCCTGGATCACGCACGCAGTGCTCGGTCATTGCACCTTCCCTTGCAACTTTAATCTCCATGCTCACCTCGACAACATGTCCAAACAGCGGCGCGGGAACAAGCGTGAAAGTTATCTTTCAAGCAAACGGAATCATGTGCGAGCCAAGGCGATCTTCGCTGTTCCTGACAGGTGTGTTTTTGACCTTGTCGTTGCCATCGCTTCCTCCTCATTTCAGGCTCCGAATCTACGTTGGGCGAGTGGAATCTGAAACAAGCTCGACAGCTGCGCCAGAACCTGCCGAGTATGTCCTTGGAGAGGGAGGAGAAGGACTGACCTGTGATCTGTGAGATACTTTCCATACAACCCTGTTCATGGATGGGTCGACATCGTTCCTGTTCTCTTACTTCATGGTTCATAACCCCGATGACCTCTTCAACTTCTCCTTGTACCAGGAACAGGTGATTTCTGGAGGAGCAGGAACAGGAGCAGCAGCAGCAGCAGCAGCAGCAGCAGCAGCAGCAGCAGCAGCAGCAGCAGCAGCAGCAGCAGCAGCAGCAGCAGCAGCAGCAGCAGCAGCAGCAGCAGCAGCAGCAGCAGCAGCAGCAGCAGCAGCAGCAGCAGCAGCAGCAGCAGCAGCAGCAGCAGCAGCAGCAGCAGCAGTAGCACTGTAGCAGCACCGTTGGTTAAGTTCTAATGCCTTGCAGTCAGGAGACTCTGGGATTCAGTGGATGAGCGGAGTCGCGCAGGTCAAAGCTCGTAGCAACGAGAAGGCGATCGTCTCGCTGTTCGACGAGTGAGAGCGCACGCGTCAAAATGACCTGAGTGATCGTTGATCAGCTGGAGCCAGCCGGCGAGCCATGGCAGCCACTCCCACAACCCCCCGCTTCACAACCAGCAGTAGAACTGATCGACTGATCTCCTGCCTGTTCTGATCAGCACATGACTGGTGTGCAGGCTGAAGGCAGCAAGACCGTCGACGAAAGACCCCAAGGAATTATATGTACTCTCCTTTATTCATGTGATGACTTCAAAATCGTCGCTGATGTTTGCCCTTCCATCTCCCTGGATCTTGCGTTGAAGAATCGTCTTCAGTGCAAGTTGTGCTGGGATGCTGAGGTAGAGGTGGTCTTCTTGCCATGTGGCCATGGAAGCAGTTGCTGGTCCTGCGGTGAGCTAGTTCAAAGGTGTGAAAGTCTTGCTTGCTATCACTGTGCGATGATGATGATGATGATGATGATGATGATGTCGGTTCAAGATGCCCCCTTTGTCGATCTCAAATCCAACAGAAAGTTCGAGTTTTCATCTAGAGCGGGCGGATCACTCGTACCCCCCTTGGACAGGAGACGCACAGTTGAAAACTTACGGAGGATGCTGGAGCAAGATGGGAAATGAAGGCGAAGGTGACAAATTGTTCAAGGTGAATGCGAAGGTTGTTATGTTCATATATACATCATCTCTTCTGAACTCTGTTGTCATCTAACAACCTGCTTTCTTGCCACTCCTTACCTCCTCTGCCGCTCTTGCTTCACAGAGAGCAGCGTCAAGCTTGATTTTCGATTCATCCAAGGCATTCTTTACCTCTGTGAGCAATTCCTGCTTACAAGTGCAAGTTAGACAGCAAACCGAACTCAGAGACTCCTTTCTGACATGATTGGCACATGATTCACCTGCAAACATGCATCAGTGAAGAAAAAAGGCTTGGTTATCCATCAGATCAGCTACCAGCTGCAGTCTTGTTGAGCGTTGACTTCACAATGGCCAGTCTTTTCTCTGCTCCGTCTCGTTCTTCCAGCGCAGACAGAGCTTGCAAGCACTCCGACGAGCAGCAGCCTCGCATGCTCTGCATCACGATAAGAGAAGAGGGAGGAAGCGAGAGGGGGGAAGGAACGAAACGATGAAGAGGAGGAGAAGGAGGAGGAGGAGGAGGAGGAGAAGGAGGAGGAGGAGGAGGAGGAAAAGAAGAGGAAGCAAGGAAGAGGAGGAGGAGGAGGAGGAGAAGATGTAGACGCAGGGCTCCTGCACAACCTTACAACAGCTTGCACACTGTATGAACCTTCTTCGATGAAACGCGCGAGGGCAGTGTATCATAGAACAGTCCGTCTGCCAGTCGCTGGGAGCTGAGGGAGAGGTGAGGTCGTGCAGGAGCAGGAGATTTCACCTCGACAAAGTTCGCAGCTGGACAGAACCTCCTGCCCGATCCGCTGCCCTCCTACTTGAGTCCCGCAGCGCTGGTGAGATATTAGGGGGATTCAGAGATTGAAAAGAGGGGATGGGAAAGGGGAGAGTAGAGGGGAGGAGAGGAGAGGAGAGGAAAGGAGAGGAGAGGAAAGGAGAGGAGAGGAGAGGAGAGGAAAGGAGAGGAGAGGAGAGGAGAGGAGAGGAGAGGAGAGGAGTGAGGAGGAGAGGAGAGGAGAGAGAAGGGGATGGAAGAGGGAGAAGGGGGCAGGTGAAGTTGTGAGCGAATGATAGGATCTTGTCTAGTGACAACAAACTGACTGAACTGTCTCTTTGTATGGCGCTGCCTGTCTGTCTGCCTGCCTTGATGTCTCTCTGTGTGTATGATGACTGGCCGGGAGCGAAGAGAAGAAGAGAGAAGAGAAAGACGATCACAGGCGAGCATAACCTGATCGAAGACATGGTTGACTCCAAGGAACTTGGAGCTGCAAGCAACGAAGGGAGTGAGAGAAAGGGAGTTGAGGCAAGTGTAATGATACCGCTGGTTTGTTTCTCTCAAGAACTTGCTGTAGTGAACAATGCCTCCCTGCAATGCAAAGACTTTGTTGAACCTGACCCGAGCTAAGAGGGAAGTTGCGATATTGTTTGCGGACTGACCCCAACTTCTGAACGATGTATGCGTTTGCTTTCTCGCACCTGATCCCTCCAGTGCAGTAGGTCAAGATCTCCCTGTAATGGTGGTGAATTGAAGATGCACGGGATGCAGAAGAACAAAGTTGAGATCAGAAAGAGTACGATAATATCACAGAGAGAAAGATGAAATGGAAGGAGGTAACATGTGTCAACAAAGGTAAGGTGTAATCAGAGTAAAGCGATTTCAAACAACGAGAGGATGGGATCATAGCAAACAAGAAGATTTCAAAGAAAACAGAATGAAATCACAAACAGAAGGTGACGTAAACAAAAACAAGATGATATCAAAGAATAGAAGGTGATAACAAACCATCATGACATCATGAGATATGAAATCGAAGAAAAGAAGATGATTACAAAGTACAATGAGATACAAGTGAAGTTTACCGATCTTTGTTCTCATTTTGCAACAGATCGTCTAATATTTGCCAGGTCTCTTTGAATGTGGAGGTTGGCACAGGAGTTGCAGACTGAGAAGACAAAAAGAATCAACAACAGATGGAAAAGAAGATGGAGATGCAGATGGAGATTATCGAGGGAGAGGTGGAGCGCGTTGAAGGAATAGTTGAAGGAGGACGATGACGAGGAGGAAGGAGTGAGCACAGAGCGGACAAGGAGGACAAGGAGGAAGACAAGAAGGACAAGGAGGAGGAGGATACGAAGAAGAAGAGAAAGGAGGAAGATGGGACTGAACCTGAAATCTGCCAATCTCGTACTCGTAGATGTTCCTGATATCGAGAAGGAGAGGAGCTTGCGAAGACGGTGAGGAAGGGGAATGTGAAGGAGGGGAGGAAGCAGAATGTTTCTCCATCTCCTCCATTCTTGAATGCCATTCTGACAAGGGAAAGAGGGAGGGGGGGGTGGGGGGGAGAAGGAGGAGGGGAAGGAGGAAGAGGAGGAGGAGGAGGAGCAGGAGGAGGAGCAGGAGGAGGAGGAGCAGGAGGAGGAGCAGGAGCAGGAGCAGAAAAGGAACCAAGCAGCAGCAGCCAGACATGTCAGTGAGGGTGAGAATAAATTTCAACTCTAACCAGCAGGCGTCAGCTTATTGCCGTTGTTGTTGATGTCAAGTGGGAATCCAAGACCATCCGACAGTACTTGCTGAGATTGAGAGTTACAAACTATTCTCTACGTGCTGCTGCTGCTGCTGCTGCTGCTGCTGCTGCTGCTGCTGCTGCTGCTGCTCCTCCTCCTCCTCCTCCTCCTCATGCAGCGCATATTGACACTTTTGATTCCTCTGTTGACTACCTTACGATGTTTGACGGTCAACTTCTCGAACGGTTTCTGTGCATGGGGAACAACAACGTCGACATTCAGCCAGACGTCTTGCAGCTTGTCTGTCGACTTGATCTGTTGCAGCATCATCCTATCAGATTCAAGCGTCCTCCTCCTGCTCCTGCTCCTGCTCCTGCTCCTCCTGCTCCTGCTCCTGCTCCTGCTCCTGCTCCTCCTGCTCCTGCTCCTGCTCCTGCTAGCTCCTGCTCCTGCTCCTGCTCCTGCTCCTGCTCCTGCTCCTGCTCCTCCTCCTCCTCCTGCTCCTCCTCCTGCTCCTGCTCCTCCTCCTCGCTGTACACTCTTCTTCCTCCTTTTCTCAACGTACCCTGCTCATGCTCCTGCTCCCTCTCCTGCTCCTCCTGCTCCCTCTTCTGCTTCTCCTGCTCCTGCTCCCTCCTCCCTGTGCCCTCCTCGCTTCCCTCTCCTCTGCCTCGCCTCCCTGGTTTCCCTGCCCTCTCCATTCATTTTCAATCCTTGATCCTCGTTGCCCTGCTGGATATCCCTTCCCTCTTCATCCTCATCCTCTTCCCCTCCATCTGTTATCTCGCGCTTGTTGTAGATGCAGACTTCTGCATTTGTGATGAACAACCTGTTCTCCTCTCGTTCCCTCCTGCTTTCTCTTCTGTTCACATGCTCCTTTCTTCCCAGCGCTTTCTCTCTCTCTGCCCCTCGCCTCTCTCCCTCTTCAGCCCTCGTCCCCGTCCTCGTCCCCGTCCTCGTCCCCGTTCTCCTCTTCCTCCTCCTCTTACTGTATTTCGAAAGAGTGGGACGAGGCTGGCCGGTACCGCGAGCTGCAAAAGGACGTGAAAAGCACGTGAAGACGAGGAAGAGGAGGGGAGAGGGGCAGGGGGAGGGAGAAGGAGGGGGGAGAAGCGAGAGTAGGAGGAAGTGGGGGAGAGAGCAATCATGGAGGAAGGTGGAGAGCATTTGCGAGAAGAGAAGAAGAGAAGCAAGAGTAGGGGAAGTTAGAGGAGAAGTGAGGGAGGGAGGGAGGGAGGGAGGGAGGGAGGGAGCGAGGACGAGGAGGACGAGGAGGACGAGGAGGACGAGGAGGACGAGGAGGACGAGGACGAGGAGGACGAGGACGAGGAGGAGGAGAAATTGAATGCAATCGTCATGATCATTGACAAGCTCCTGAACGAACACACCTGGGCATTGATCCCTTCAGTTGCAACATACACTCTCCCGACAACATTCATAGGAGCCCAGGCTCCTATCAGTCGTTCTGCTCCATCATCACACAAGTACCGACAAGCATGTTGCAAGACTGACCAGCAAAAGCGTCCGGATCTTCTTCGTCGTAGAACTTGTAGAAGGATATCAGATTCCAGTAATCTTGACGGATGTTGGAATCGTTCTCATCAGCCATCACAAGTGCAAGATGATTTTCTTGCCCATGGGACTTGAAACTTATACAGCAATGGCCAGCCATCATCGCACTTCGCTCTTGTGCTGTTGTTCTCACACCAGACATTTCAAGTCCTCCTATCAGATCCTCAAGTCCCTGACATGTCGAGTGACGAGAAACAAGGTCATGGCAGCATGCAAGGGATGATTTCAAGCATACAAGTTGTCGCGATTGCTGCAGCTCCCGTTGCTTGCTCCGACGCTCAAGACGAGCAGCATGGTATAGAGCATGTCGCTGCTACAGAGTTAGAAAAAGGAAGACGAATGGAGAGGAAGGGAAGGGAAGGGAAGGGGGAGGGGAAGGGAAGTGAGAAGAGAACAGAGGGGAAGAGAAGATAGAGGAGAAGGGAAGAGAAGCGGGAGAAGGGAAGAGAAGGGGAGGAGAGGGTAACAGGAGAGGAGAGGAAGGGAAGGAAAGTTCGAGATAGCAAGGGACGAGAGGCATGAGAAGGGAGAAAGAGAGCAGGTCAGACAGTCTTCAAGTCTTTGAATCATCAAGGTAGTGGCCGAATACCTGCTTGTAAGCAACACCCCTTCTAAACATGTGATCGGCAAACATCTTATCCGAGAAGATTCTCCTGTGAGTTTGAAGCATGTGTTCCTTCCTGTCCGAGCTCTCCTCCTCCTCTCTTCTCGCAAAGAGGTCTTCCAAGTCCGAGCAAGGTTCCATCAAGAACGTTTCATCAGGGCTGCTCTTCGATTCAACATGTTGCTTCTTGTTGTTTTCCACCGTGGTGCCTGTTTCACAGACAATCATCATCAGCATATACTTCCCAAAGATTGCAAGCTTTCAACCCACAAGACGTAAGGAAATTTCCAAACAAACGTAAGGGAAGCATACTCGAATAGGAAGGTCGATTTGCAGATGAAGAAAAGATTCACTGTTGTATCACCTTCATACTTGGCGTGCGCTCCTTCGATAGAGATTCCTTGTCTTGTCACCCCGCACACTCCCTGTCATCGATGCCTTTGTCCGCCCTAGTACTCAGCATACTACTCGCCTCCCCCCCCCTCATCCTCATCGCCATTGAAATTCCTCCACCATGACCACTTAACCAGGACGACATGCTCGTCCCTTCCCTTCCTGTTGCTCCTGCTCCTGCTCCTGCTCCTGCTCCTGCTCCTGCTCCTGCTCCTGCTCCTGCTCCTGCTGCTCCTCCTCCTCCTCCTCCTGCTCCTGCTCCTCCTACCGCCGCTCCCATCCCTGCAGCCGCAACAGCTAGTATCGTCACGAGCGGGCGCATTATTCTTCGTCAAAGGGACGACTGTACGGGTGGTTTTAACCACCAAAGACTGGGAGGAGTGTGGGTGGGGTAGTTTGTAGCCCTTTCAGTCTTTCATAGGCGTGCAGCCTTCACGGTTCGAATTGGCGTGTAAAAATTCAGTAGCGAGTGAGTTCTGATCAACAGCTGTGCGGCAAAAGTTTCGAATAGCTGGGCCAGTGGTGGGCTTTTTGCCGGGCCTGTCATTTATATCATGAAATGATTGCCCGGCGCTAGTCCGGGTCGGGCCGCGGGCCCGGCCGCGGCCCGGCCGCGGCCGGGGCACGCGCGGCCGCGCGCCCGGACTGACCATGAACTTTCTTTACTCAAGGTTAAGTTAAAAAATCAGTACGAGGCGAGGAGGCTGACCCTGACGCACAGGCCAAACGGCCATGAATGGTGGGGATGTTCTCTTTACTCAAAGTTAAGTTAAAAATCAGTACGAGTGTTCTCTCAGTCCGTTCGGCGCGAGTCCAAGGGGGGGATCGAGTTAGCGAGTTTGATTCCGTTGCTGAGGCGACATGCCGCACAAGGAAAAGACTTGTTTTCACATTGCGACTGTAAGCAATCACGATACCAACTGTTTTGTTGCCTGGCCCTTTTATCGGGCCTTGCCGGGAGGAGGGGTCAGAGGACCAGGAATTACGGTCCTCGGGGGGGTGATCAGAGGTCTCGTCTCCCCACCTGTAAGTTACCGAAAAGACTTGTTTTCGATTTCCGACTAGACGCACTTCGAAAGGACCTCTTTTCATGAAACCTTTCCCCCAGGATAGGCAGCAGCTACGCCACCAGTAGAGCAGCGGGTACGATGCTGATGAAGCATCGGCTGTTGTGAGCAGAAAGGGATGTTCCTGTACTTAGAGTCAGCCTTGTCGATCTCTTTCGCCTCCTCCTTGCTAGCTCAACGTTCCTGTCCTTACGCAAGAGTCCCAGTACGTCTAGAAAGACTTTAGAGCATCCCGACATTGAGTTATGCTGACTGTGTTTGACGCTGCTGACGTTTTCTCTCTCCAGGAGATCCAAACGATCAATCGCGGTCACTAGACATGCAGTCACAGTATCAGACGCCCTCCCTTCACAGCAGCCCCTCCTCTTCAAACGGCTCTACCACCCATGGCAGCTTCAGACCCCGCGTCCTTACAGCTGATCTCGCCTTCAAGATCTATCGGGAGATCCCCGCCGACCTCGACCAAACGTCCAACTCCCGCAAGAGCACCGAAGTCGCCATCAAGTACGGCACCAGCCCTAAGACAGTCCGTGACGTGTGGAGCCGCCGGACATGGTCTGAGGCGACCATGGCGCTGTGGACGGCAGAGGAGGTAGCAGAGAGGTTGAGGCGGAGGAAGCGAGGGCCGGGAAGACCGGTGGGGTCCAAGGATGCTCGGCCGAGGATGCGGAGATGCTTCAAGAAGGAAACGACTGGTGCAAGGGTGGAACAGCTGAGGGAGGTGAGAACCGAGGTGAAGGCGGAGCAGCCGCCGGCCCCTCCTCCATGCGCCATGCTCGGAGGATGGGAGGAAGGGGAGGCTTCAAGGACGTGCGGGGGAGAAGGTGGACACTGGGAACAGGATGGATACATGAACGCGGAGCAGGAGAGAGGGCAAGGTGGGGACGAGTGGGGAGAGAGGGAGGAGAGGGAGGAGAGGAGAGGAGAGGAGAGGAGAGGAGAGGAGTGGAGTGGAGATGAGTGGAGAGGAGATGAGTGGAGAGGAGAGGAGAGGAGAGGGAGCGACTGGTTGCAGATGAGCTATCCAGGTGCGGAGGCAGGCTGCCTTGCGATGTTGAATTTGCCTACCTGGACTTAGTCGAGGAGTAATAGATGCGAGTTGTAAGGTGTAATAATAGATGAGAGAAGATCAGGCGAGTTATGCGATGGTGTACTGACTT